CGCTAAAACGTAGCAGTTGCCTCAGCCAGGCACACCTCATCAACAGCAGGAGGAAGAAGATGGCAAAGGTCATTTGGGGCTGGCAGGAAGTGGCAGGGTTAGGTGGTGTGGAGTGCAGGGTGACCAAAAGGGCAGAAATAGGATAGGCAAGTAGGGGGAATTGAAACAGGTGAGTGCTGTGGTGCTTGAGAAATGTGAGGTCCTTACCTAAGAATGGTTTGGTCCTAGCTTAACAACTGCCATTGCAAATCAATGTGGTCATGTGATATTTCGCCACTTCACTTAGCAATGGAAACTCTGGTCCCAATTAGGGTTGTTAAGAGAGGATTACCTGTACAAAATAGTTGCTTAACAACCATTCATTTAGTGAGCAAAGTTACAACAGCACTGAAAAAAGTGCCTTCTGAACAATACTCATACTTAAAACTGCCATAGCGTCCCTGCAGCCATGTGATTGTGATTCAGTTGCTTGGGAACTGGCGCACATTTCTGATAGTTGCAGCATCCTGGGGTCACATGATCACCATTTTGACAAGCAAAGTCAGTGGGGAAACCATCAGGGAAGGTCTCAAGTCACAGTCACATGATGTCTCACTTGACAACCATGGTGTTTCACTTAATGAATACACCAGAAAAGGTAATAAAATCAGGTGTGGTCACATTATGCCTCGCTTAATGACTGCACCACTTACCAATTTTCTGGTCCCTATTGGGGCTGTAAGTCAAGGACTACTTGTATAGTGAATAAGCAAGCATAAGCTCCTGCTGTCCAGCAGATCGGAAATAAATTATGGTGCAGCTAAAACAAAAGTGGTATATCTGATTGAAGACTCATGTTTGAAGACAAATATTTATTTACAATGATTAGTGTCTGAGCATGTGCAAAGAGAGCTTATAAATCATGTTTTGTTTTTATGAGTTTTTACTTCCTAAAATAAGATTCACAACTGATAATTCTACATAGCAGCCAGCCCACCCTATCCACATCCAGAACATGTGACGTGACTTATAATGTTGTAATTCAGTTTGACTTTGGATAATTTTCCTTACTTAAAATTGTTTTACTATATCCACCATGATTAATTATGCAGAAATTCATTTCAGTTTTATTCAAAAGTATAAAAATACTGTTCCAGAAGAGCTCTTTAGCCAGGTCAGCTGTTGGAATCACTGGATGAAACACTGAAACAAGAACATTCCAATAGCAGCTTCATGTTGATTCAATGGTCATCTGTTGCTTTTAGCATCCTGTTTGCCATGCCAATACAGTACTTTCTCCTTCAATCCCAGTTAACCAACAGCTAAAGAGTACTTTGAAGTTTTATTGATCTATAACTATAGGGTGTTCTTTAAAAAAAAAACAAAATTACTTGCAAGCAAAAACGTTTATCAAATTTATGCATATATCTTCTTCTTATCTTATTAGGAACAGACAATGGCTGATTTCAGAAAAGAAGACAGGAAGTAGGACAAGAGTGTGCAATATCTTCTTGACTAATATATTTCTCAATAAAACATTTGGGGATATATGTGTACTTTTCTATGTACAATGCTGTATTGTTGGATAAAAACTTGAAATAGTGTTTTGAGGTAAGTAGTATGGATCTGAACATTATTTATCAATACTCAGCTAGTTGTGTTTGACAGGGAAAATAGAAAGAACAGTTGTAAGTTATGGATAAAGGTTAAACAATTAGAGCAAATAAATGAATGGAAGAACATTGTCTAAGGATGGGGAAATGCATGTAGAAATTTTAAGATGTACAAATGATGATAGAAATGTAATGGATAGTAAGTGTTCTGTTGCAAGGAATGAATAATATTTGAAAGAAACAAAACATTTCTGAAAGAATGTTTTTCTTTTGCTTGTTGTATAGAAGCAAGAGTTTGGTATGCTAGGAGAAATGTAAAAATATGTTAAATGCTGTGGGAATGTAGTACTTACACTGTTATGTATTGAATATATAGAGAGAGTTGTGTTAAGCCCTGCTAAAGTGAAACTAACCTTTAGATGACCCTAACTGTTAACTGCAACTGTTTTGGAGGGAAACTTAGAACATTCATATTTGGGCAGGCTTTTTCNAAGACCAGGACTCGAGACCACGAAGGTGCGAGAGAAACAGGTTTATTGATACTTATGAGGAAGTCAGAAGTCAAAGTTGGAAGCTAAAAGTCAAAGTTGGAGCTCCAGTTCACTCGAGTTAAATGTCACGCTAATATGAATTTATAAGGTCCATTCTATTAAGACCACCTAACCTGGCCAGCCACTGGTGGGTTTACCTGTGCACCCCCTCCTGCATCAGAACTGCTAGGTGAGCAGGAGCTGGGGCAAGTAATGGAAGCTCATCCTGTCATGCAGTGCTCAGGTCTTGAACCCGGACTATCAGCTTTCCAGCTGACAAGCTCAGCATTTATAACCGCTGGGGTAGCCCTCACTTAACAAGTTTAGTGAGTGTTTGAAGTTATGATGGCATGCTGAAAAGTAATTTTACAACCGGTCCTCACACTTATGACCATCACAGCATACCCACAGTCACATGATTGTGATTTAGGTGCTTTGAAACTGGTGGGAACTGATTGCATGCTTCACAGCCAGCTTCTGAGAAACAGAGTCAATAGAGAAGTTGGCAGTAAAATTGCAAGTTGCAGTCACATGATGTTTCACTTAACTATGGTGGAAGTGAGATTGTAAGTCCATTGTGGACACATGATATCTTGCTTAATGATTGCATCACATAGTGACAGAGTTGCTGGTGTCAATTGTGCTCAAGTTCTCAAATTAATTACATATACAAGATACACCATTTATACAATTAATTGATCTTCACCTGTCTACACTAATGTGTTTCTCGCACATAAAACACTCACAGCAACAGAAATAAAACCTTTGTTCTTATCCTCACTACACTTTAGTCTGTGTGCAGCTCAACATTCAGTTAAACCCACCTATCCTCCAATAAAACAGACGGTGTGCGTAGATCTGGATGCTTTATTTAAAGAACAAGATATGGTGAAACTGGGGGAAATGAGAACCAAATACAAGATAGGCAGTATTGAGTTACTGCTGAACATAACAATAAATACAAGTAAACTAAATCTCACCAGTGATGCTCTGTGTGTGGGATGTGGGTTTGTCCTTGGATGACTATGTGCCACAGATTAAGATGGATTCTTCTTTGTGCTTCTGTCTCCTCCAAATGCTAAAGGAAAATGGAGTCTGGCTTCGCAGCGTGCACTTGTTTTGAGAGTGCAGGCTGATGGGTAAAGGGGTTGGGTCAGCTTCAAAACAGTATAATGGTATTTGTTCCTATCGCCACTAGATGGGGCTAGAGAGAAACAGCAGTATATATTCCTCGTTGTTGCGAGGAATACGGATTAAGATTGTAAGATTTATATATTGTCCTACCCAAAGGGGAGAATGTTAGGAATATAATCTAACGGTTGGGTTGGCAATATATAAATCATGTAACAATGTTGTACCTGTTTCTTTAAATCATGCTGTAAAATGTGATTGGTTGTTGTTTTCCTCAATCGGCCATAAGAGGGAGCCAGAATGACTGTTAGCTCTCTGTTCGCTAGATGCTGGGTTTATCTGCTCTGAGTTTATTGGAAGCTGGCTGTTAGAAAGTGCCGTGAGCTATTGTAAGTTTTGCAACTGTTAGCAAACTTTGAATTCTGAACTGATTATATGATACTGGACT